TCCGCCCTCTATCGCAGTACCGTCTGCGCCTCCGCAGACCACCGTCTCCCCTCCTTCCCCGCCGCGACTACCGACGCGTCGAGCCATTCGCTCAGCCCGTTGCAGCGCACAGCTTGCTACTCGCAAGGACTTTGTGTCCTCTCTTCTGGACTTGAGCATGCTCAGGGCTCGTCAGGAGCGACTCACCCTCCATGTCGTTGCACTGCGTCGCCTTCTCACTATCCTCTCTGACCCTGATCGCACCCTCCCGATCATCCCCGTACGACTCGGGACCTCCACGAGGGTGTACTCATCGCTGTGGGATTCTGGTTCTCAGGGCGACTTCATTCACCCAACCGTGGTGAAGGAAGCCCGCTTACCCACGACAGGGTCTCCGACTCCCATCTCCGTTACCCTATGGGATGACAAGACCCAGCGCTTCTTCGATCAGACGGTCACCGACCTCCCCTTCTTCCTCACTCTCGAGCCGACTGAGCGTTCCCTGGCGTCTTGTCGCCACCGCTCCTTTGCACATTTCGATGTGATGGAGACGGGGTACGACTTCATTCTCGGCACTCCGTGGTCTCGTCGGTTCCGCAGCACCAAGGCCGATTGGGCGACCAACACTCTCGTTCTCAAAACGAAGTGTGGACAGATGTATCGCGTACCTTTCATAGGTACCACGGCGACACCACACCCCGATCCTCCTCCCCTAGAGCCTTCAGTGCCCACACCATCTCCCTCTTTCACTGTCACCTCGCCTCGGCAGTTCCCTCACTTCATTCGACAGGACGACGTCACCTTCTTTATGGTGGACGTGACGGATCTCTTACACTATGATCCACCATGTCCCGACGCCGAGCTCATCCCTCTAGAGCCAGATCCTCCCTCTATCTCCATGGCTCCCTTCTCTACTTCCGTCCCTCCGCCGTCCGTCGAGTCCACCCCGCCGTCGCGCGCTGACGCTGACGCTGAGGAACTCGCACGATATACGGCTGACTTGAAGCCCGCAGTTCGTGACCTCATCCGCGAGTACCATGACGTTTTCCCATCGTCGTTCTCGTACGCCGGCATCCCACCGATGCGCGATGTCGAGCACTCCATTCAGCTCGTGCCTGACTATCGTGTTCACCACCTGGCACCCTACAGACTCTCGATCCCCGAGGCCACCAAACTCAAGCGTCAGCTTGAGGAGCTCCTGAGACTGGGTTTCATTAAAMCCAGCAACTCCCCGTGGGGTGCACCCGTCCTCTTTGCTCGCAAAGCGGATGGAACTCTTCGTCTCTGCATCGACTACCGCGGCCTCAACCGCTACACGGTTAAGAACAGCTACCCCATGCCTCGTTCCAATGAGCTGTTCGACCGCATAGCAGGCAACCGCTTCTTTACGAAGATTGATCTTCGTAGCGGTTACCATCAGATCCGCGTCGCTGCAGCCGACCAGCCGAAGACCGCGTTCCGATCGCGATTCGGCCACTACGAGTTCACGGTGATGCCGTTCGGCCTCACCAACGCACCCGCTACCTTCCAGAGGGCGATGAACGACATCTTCAGGGACATCCTGCAGCAGTACGTTCTCGTCTACCTCGACGATATCCTGGTCTATAGTCGTACCCTTGAGGAGCACCTCAGACACCTCCGCGACGTCCTTGATCGCTTGCGCAGACATGGCTTCTACGCCAAGCTAAGCAAGTGCCGCTTTGCCCAGCACAAAGTGGATTTCTCAGGACACTACGTGTCTGACCAGGGTCTCCACATGGACGACGCGAA